TCGTCATGTTGTAAACATGTGTGTTCTCTTGTCATCATGTTATAAACATGCGTGTTCTCTTGTCGTCATGTTGTAAACATGCGTGTTCTCTTGTCCTGTGTTGAAGCTTCAGAACGATTCCTTCTTTAATATTCTGTCACTTCTTGTAGTTTTGTTCTGAGTGAATTATTTCAACTTTGTGTTTCAGAGTCACAGTTGAGCTGGTCCCGCCTCCAGTCAACAGGTCAAAGGTCAAAACCATCAGAACACAGAAACCAGGTCAACATAATGAATCCTATTACACACACACACAGACACACACACACACGCACACACACAGACACACACGCACGCGCACACACACAGACACACACACACACGCACACGCACACACAGACACACACAGACACACACACACACACACGCACACACAGACACACACAGACACACACACACACACACACACACACACACACACACACTTATCCTCATTGAGACTCGCACTGACTTCCATTCATCGTGGACAGTCTAAGTAAAACCTTATTCGTACTTTCACCAGGACCAGTTCATATCTAACCCCTAACCTGCCCACACCTCTGACCTCTGACCTCTGACCTTAGGAAGTTTAGCTCTGGTCCCGTGACGTCTCCTGGTCCTGACGAGGTCAGTGTTCAAGTGGGACAAGGTTGTAAAGTAACTTAGAAACTGTTCATGTTTCCTTCCTCTCGTGTGTTTAACCCTTTAACACACTGAAGCTTCTTCATGTTGTGTGTCTGACACGCCCCCGAACAAAACAAAACCAGATGCAATATATTATTGACCACTGGGTGGAGCATCGTCAGGGTAAATGTATCCAGGTGAAGAAAACTAATAAACCACATGACGACAATAAAAAAATACGTTCACTGAGTAATAACATTGATTTTATTGATGCAACAGGTTTTTACATTTTACTTCGTAGAATCCATTTTAATTATTTCTTCTGTCTCATCTATTGGATCTCTGCAGGAGCCCCCCCCCCCCCCCCCCGACATAAAGTCACTAATCCTACATCTGCCTGCTCAGGATTAACCTGAGGAACACCAGGGGGATTTTATCTGGAGTTTTAATGACGCTCACTTTCACTCTGCACAGAACAAACATGTCACAACATTTAAAGAGATTTCATTTAGATATTCTACACGACCGTCATTGACTAATGAGCTGAAATCCTTATTTAGTTTGAATGATTTCTTATTTTCCAGGACAGAACGAGTGAAACAACAGCTATGATGTAGAATCTCATCCGACGTGTGATTTAAACTCCAGGAACATCAGCATTAATCCAGAGGAGCACACACCGTGTGGGACAAATAGAGATGAGCTCATTCTGTTTCCTGTTGATGTCATAATGGACGTTCTTCTTAATAACTTAGGAGGGAGTTTCGTTGGACTTTACTGTTATTGTCTGATGAAGTGTGTGAGACAGGAAAACAATCAGTCGTGTGGTGAAGCTGTTGGTTTGTGAGACGAGTTTCACAGAAACTTTTCTGTAAACGTCTTGAGTGGTAGAGTGTCAATGGTGCAAAGTAACTAAGTACATTTACTCAATTACTGCACTTAAAGCAGCTGTGGCACCGACAGAGAATCATCATCAGTTTCCTCTCATCTCTCCTCAGCTCCTCCTCATCTTATCCTCCATCGTCTCCTCCTCCCTTCCTCTCCTCCCTCCTCCTGCTTTGTGCTCTACGCCTCTGTTCGGCTCCAGCTCACAGGAATCCACTGAGGCTCGTTCTGAGCCTGTTGGATGATGGAGCACAGCTGCGTGCAGGCGTCCTGCAGCTCATCGTTCACCAGCACGCTGTCGAACAACTGTTTGTACTTTGTCTCCATCATGTGGGACGTCCCCTCCAGCTCCATGAAGTCGTCCTCCTGCAGGAACAGAAACATGAGCATGTCCTCACACAGTCACCATTAACACCTGCAGATGTGTCAGTGCGTGTCTCCACAGGACGGAGTCTCTTACTGTGAAAGCTCTGTTGATGCTGCAGTTAGTGATGAGTCGTGCGTCTCTCCTCGTCTGTCTCAGTCTCTCTGGGTCGGGGACTTTGATGAAGATCACGTAAGGCTTCAGTTTCCTCGTCCTCAGCGGCTGGATGCTCTGATAGAGACAGTGTGAGCAGGGCTCCTGTATCAGTGTCTGGTTGTGGGTTTGGTTATAAAGTGTGTGTGAGTGTGTTTCTGTGAATCCTCTTCATAAAACTCACATGTGGTTCCACGTCGATGATGCACATTCGTCCTCGTTTCAGCACGTCATCGATGGCGTCAATGCTCGTCCCGTACAGGTGAGCTTTATATTCACCGTACTCCACAAACCTACACACACACACACACACACACGTCAGTGATTACACTCTGGAATATAAAACGGGTCAAGAAAGAAAAAATGATAAATCAGAAAATCAGTTTGTATTTTTTAATGAACTACGTCCACGACACTGCTCTGTGTCAGAAGCAGATTAAATGAGTGAAAGCAGAGAAGCCCACCTGTGGTTACAGACCATGTACTCAAACAACTCTTTGGTGACAAAGTGGTACTCTCTTCCTGTCTGCTCCCCCGCTCTGATTGGACGGGTGGTGTCTGGAGAAACAGTCAAATCTGGTCATGTGATTATTTCACCACTATGAGCATGAAGACATCGACGACCTCATCACAAATCCTCTGTGTTATAAACGTTGAGTCATGTTACACTTCAGGATCTCTCACTTATAATTCTCTTTTTTCCAGAGGACTGATTTGAAGTGTATTATTAAATGAAGGAGTTCAATCTGCAGCACGTACGAGGTACGGGTCCCTGGACGGTCGACGGGTTCAGTTTGATGAGTCTCTTCCTCAGTTCACTAACTCCGACTCCTGAGGCCCCTGTGAGAACAGACGTCAGAGATACAGACACGCTGATGTCAGCAGTTCCACAGCAGCTGATGAATAAACTGCTGGAATAAAGACAAAGCTCTGAAACTCTGGATCTCAGCTTTTTATGAGTCTTTTTAAATCAGCTTTCACATTTAATGCTGACGACTTCAGCTTCAACACTGACTCTGCCAGGAGAGACACAGACTCTAAGAAAGAGATTCATCTGTTCTCGATTATGAGGTTTAAATGTTCCTCACCAACAAGGATGATGAGGCGGTGGTTCTCCTGCGGGGGGCGCTGGTACAGAGCCACCTCCTCATAAGGGGTGGACAGAGTGCTGCTGTTGGGGGAGCAGGAGGTGCAGGACTGTCGTCTCCTCCTGAAAGACGTTCTCCTCCACAGACGGAAAGTACGACGGAAACCAGCTGAGGAGACGTTCAAACAATATGAAACCTCTTGTCTTCACATATTTACTAACAGCTCTCTGTTGACTGTGGACACTAGAGACACTAGAGACACTAGAGACACATGTTAACTCCAGACAAGTCAATGTCATCAGGTTGGCATGTTTTAATAAACATGTATGTTCACTGAGTGACGATGAGTCTCACCCAGGTAGATTCCATCAGTGACATCAGAATCAGCTTCATCTGAACCAAGGAAACATTTAGCAAAGTTTCAGTATAAAGTACAAACTCTTTTGTTCTTGAACATTAAGCACAAACAGCCTCTCAGCAGAGAATCTAAATATCCTCATGTCGAATGAAACAACGTTCAGGTGAAAGTTCATTAAAACAGGTTTTTACTCAAAGTTTCCAAACACAAACATGCAGCTTCACGTTTCCTGAGTCTGAACAGACTTACCTACCAAAATTCATTTCTTCCACATCTGTGGGCAGAAGAAAAACAACAGTGATGGATGAAGACTGGTGTAAAACAAATACTGTATCATATAAACTGCATATATATATATATATATACATATATGTATATATATATGTAACTGTGATTCTGACATGTTTTACCTGTGAGGGTGCGTTTGTCATCAGTGTCGTCCTCTGGAACAGATTAAAAAAACTTCAGGTCAAAGACACATAAAATGGAACGAGTTACAAAATGACGACAAACTCTCAAAGTGTGATTTGATGTTGTTGGACGATGTGAATCGTTTCAAAAGGACGTTCGTGTTATTCATCGTCTCAGTGTGACGACAACAGGATGAGAGCTTTTCATCTGTTGGAAGATTTGATGGATTCATGCGAAACTTTGTCTCCAGAGGATGAACCCTACCAACTTCTGTGATCCTCTGACTTTTCCTCTAGCGCCACCAAGAGGCTGACATTTGAATGAGGCTAACAGAGTTTAGCATTTGCAACAATTAAAGCCTAAAGGCAGCAAATAATGTGAGTAGGGACATTTGATCCAAAATGGTCATTTGTGCTGAATTTGTACTGATTAGTGTGTTTGGGTGCGAACAAACTTTTCTTTGATGGAACTTTTTTCTTAAACTTTTCTTAGAATCACGTCACATTCTGAACTACTGGTCTGAATCCAGAGCAGGTTCTGTGAAGTCTGTAACAGTGATAACAATACGAATATGAATACTACTTCTACTACTTCTACTACTACTTCTACTACTTCTTCTACTACTACTACTACTAATAATAATAATGATGACATCATTGTGCTGTATCACACTCACCGCTCTCAGCCAGCGTCACTGTCGTCAGCAGCGTGAACACAGAGAAAAGACACAACTGTTAGAAATGACTCACACATTGATCCTGATTGGTTACACCATCAAATATGGGCTCCTTCAAAATAAAATGACCTCTCCTGTGATCTTTGTCAGGTTTTCTACTGGATCAGTTCAGTTCATTCAGAAAGTTCACTTCTCACATTTCGTCATCAATAAAAAATTCCCACGGTGACAAAACAAACCAGAATTCTAAACATTTGTTGAAACACTTCGTTAATCTCAGGTGCCTCCTGATTTCTTTTTGATTTCACAGGGACGGGGGGGTGGATACTCGCTAAATGCACTGAGGGGAGTGGTATTAACAATGGACGAGTCCTCACAGGGCCGGATGCAGGTGTGGCCCGGGGGAGGCTGAGTCCACCACTGCTCCCTCTGTTTACTGTGGAGGACAAAGACATGGTGTCGTTTAAAAGCTCCAGGGAAACGATCAATGTGACAAAAAACGTCTCTAAAATGTTCTAGAGTAAAGAACCGCAAACTGTTTCCTAGAAATCTCGATCGTACTCAGATGTTAAAGTGGACAGAAGTTAATCAGCAGTGAGGTGTTTGTGACTGTGGTTCAGGTGTTAGACGGATCCGCTGTCACCTCTTCAACATGCTGGCAGAGGGAATGAGTCCAGCGCAGGACACGGAACACGGCAGCTTCCTGGCCTGCCACCACCGTCCGTCCGACTGGTCCACCACCTCCAGCAGGTCTCCTCTGCTGAACGCCATCCCTGCATCCGGACAGGGGATGGAGGAGTCCTGCAGGGGGCAGTAGTCCACCATCGCCTTCATGTACACCTGACGGACAGAGACAAAGTGTGGATACAGAAACATCTGAAAGCTTTTACACCTCAGACGTTCTGTTTCTTACCGACACGTTGCTGCTGCTGCTCTGAGCTGCGTTTGGAACGACCTTAAACAGGATCGTTCCCTGAGATTGGATCTGAGGAAACAAACCAACTTAACTTCATCATTTTAACATAAAAAAGAAAAAAATTAAATTCACTGGTACATTTTCACTTACATGTAAATAACAAAACCACAATGTGGAAATAGTCCCTCAAATAAAAGTGTTATCATCAAATGAACTAAGTATAATATTGGTAATGCAGAGTACCTCTACTTGTACTAATTCAAACGAGGTCTGTGTGAATGTGGAATTCATCTTTCTGACTTCACACTTGTCGTGTGTAACGTTAACGACCTGAAGACGAGTAGTGTCACATTTTGTGAAATATTTTTAATATTAACAAAGACTGAAAAAGCGAGTAGCGCTCTGTATCAGTCAGTGGGGGCGGGGCAGTGTTGAGAGCAGCATGTACTTAAATTTCCTACCAGGATCTGGATGACCTGCTCCGGCTCCAGACCCAGCACCGGGTTACCGTTCACCTCCACGACCAGATCCCCAGGATGGAGGAGTCCTGAGACATTGAGACATGATTTACATTATAGGGACTTGCTTTTGTCCTCATAAGGACACCCACTTTCTGGCCTCATCTCACCGCTGCGGTCGGCCAGTCCTCCATGAATCACTCTGGCGATGTAGATCCCTCCCGTCTCCTCGTCCCTCCTTATCGTCGCCCCCTGTCAGACCAGTGAACACAACTTTAACATTGGCTGCAAACACCAGCTTTTAGTGAAGCTCTGACGGATGACATGGAGAGGGAGGTAAAAATGAGGAGATGGAAAAAAAAAAAAAAAGGTGAACTGAGCCTTTAAAAACAATCAGATCAAATCAAATCTCTGACACAGGAGCCACCGACTGATGTGATCAACCTGACTTGATATGTGGAGTTCCTCAGGGCTCAAAGCTCGGACCTCTGCTGTTTCACCTTCACAAGTCGTCATATTAACGTATCGTGTGGACGGCAGGTGGTGGGTAGCAGGGGGGGGGGGGCTCCAAGGTTGTTTAACTTGTATTTATATATCAATTTGATGATGATGATGATGATGATGATGATGACGATGATGATGATGATGATGATGATGATGATGATGATGATGATGATGGTCATGGTTCCTGGATAAAATGGTAAATGTGGTTTGAGGGAATAACATTTTTGAGTACCTTTAAATATTTGGAATATTTCCACATCAAGAGTTCAATCCAGCGACTCAAACGAATGTTTGTTGTGTGAGTTGATTTCAATCTGCTTCTGGTACCTGGTGAAAAATAAAACCTTGAACTGCTGATTTGGATTTAGACGATTTCCTGTTTGTGAAACATTTTCTCACCACAAGTGAAAGATTTACTTGGTTTTCAGTCAGTTTCTATTTGCAGATCCAGAGCAGACGAGGAGAGGAGAAGGTTTTCAGCCTATTTCTTCTTCTTCTTCTTCTTCTCCTGCTTCTCCTTCTTCTTCTTGACTGTCAAACAACCTGTGCTGTTACAGTCCTGTTCATCCTCCAGAGGCACTCGAGAAGCTGATCTGTTGCTGGAGCTCATCTGTCCGTTACTACCACCTGACCTGTGGGTGGCTCCAAACGTCACCAGCGTCCTCTTGGAGCCTCTGTTTGTTTGTTTTGGACTCTTGGACGTTGGAAAGCCGTCGGCACAGGAACTGACGGAGGAGGATGAAGAAGAAAAGGAGGAGCGAGAAGAAGAAGAAGGGGAGGATGACAGGTGCCGTGGGTGAGATGTGGGAGATTTGCGGACCACTGTTGGAGAGATTGAGGAGACTCTCAGAGGAGGTGGGGGAGGAGTGTGCTGTCTCGGCCTGCGTGGCGGTGACGACTCAGGGTGTTTGCTGGCCACAATGAGCCCCTGGAGCTTGTCGACCACCTCAGCCAGCAGGTTGAGTGCCTGGGCGTTCTCCTCCACGCTGTCTGTGATCAGCTCTGTCACTGCAACCATCTTATGGCCAAGGTGGCGAACGTCCTGGGTGCCGTGCTTGATGCTGCTGGCCGCCGTCTGAACAGTGGACCTGAGCTCCTCCACGCTGCACTGCTTAGTGAGGGCCTGAGACTGAGGATGCCGACAAAGGTTTGGTTGGAGACATTTATTTTGTGTCAGTTTTGGTTGACTCCTGCGTCCACTGTGATGAGGAGCGGTGGAGTAGAGGTGTGTGTTGGGAGGACTGACCGTCTCCTGGTGGTGTTTGTTATGAGGTGCAATTTGCCTGGCAGGGGTGGGGAGGGTGCTAACTCCCTGCTGACGGGTGGAGCGCTGAGCTGCAGGACTGGAAGGTGCAGTGTGGGCATGAAGAGGACTCGTCCCAGGACAAGATGGAGCCCTGCCGGGGGTTGGGATGTTCCTTGATTGTCCTCCTGTCGTCCCCTTTTTGTACAGGGCCGGGGAGCTGGGCAGGCTGACACTGAAAGCCAGGACCGGAGGTGGAGGGTAGGCATAGTCATCAAGGCCTGATCCAGCTCCTTCTCTCCCATTGGGTTTGTGTTTCTCTGAAAATGAACCTCCATGCACGGAGGACGGAGACAAGGAGGAGAGACACCAAGACAAAAGTGAGCTCGATATAATTAACAGGATTAAAGAATGAAAGAACAGCAAACAGTAAAGAAGCCAAATGATGATGTGACAATAAAGAGTGTCTGCAGTCTTCCAATGTGAGAGATGGACTGTCCAACAATGGAATGGGCAGAAATGGACGTATGAAGGGATGAACTTGAAGTTCTAGTACAAGTTCTGGTCCATATGGATCAAGCAGCTCAAAGTAGAACGATGCTCAATAAATGAAGCTGCTGGTTTAAGGTGGGAGAGTAGCTGAGTGTTGATTTAATGGATGAACGACCAGATCAAGAAATGATCAGATGATTAATTGTTGATCATCTGCACCGACCGTCCTCTCCTCCTCTTACCAGCACAGGATGCAGGGCTGAAGACGGAGGGAGCTGATTGGTTGAGCTCGTTCTTCCAGAGCTCTGTGGTCTGCGGGCACAAACAGCAGCTTCCTGTCGACTGATAGCGAGGCAGGAAGGGCCGGGACCGGTCTCCTCTGGGGACGGGCAACAGCCTGGCTTCACTTTCCGTCAGGCTGAGCTCCTCCCCCGACCATGCCCGTCTGCCGGGGGCGAGGCGCTCCAGCGTGAGGCGACGGAGGCTGCTCCAACGTCTACGAACCACTCCCACCCCATCGCCTACACTCGCTCTGCGCTCTGATCCGTTCTTAGTGAGGGAAAGATAAGACACTGCATTTTTTAAACACTGAAAATAAACATCAGTTCTAAATGATATTCAACGAGCTGCTTCGATCCTCACACATGATGACACTGACCGTTCTGTTTGGTCAGTGTCATCAACCATCAGCTCTAGAAATCACACTGACACACTATTGTGTCTTAATCCTTGTGTTTAAAAACCACTTCCTCATAAATTCACTGTTTCAGTTCAGAGACTTGGACTCAGATGGTTTCCTGAGTTCTGCAGTGAGAAAAGATTCTGTCTCACCAGCGGCTGGTTGTTCTTCACCAGGCAAACGATCCTCATGGCCTCCTCCTCCTCAGGTAACTCGTCAGGCAGCGGCAGTAAGACGGGTCCATAATCTGACTGAGCCACGCTGTCATGGGACGACAGGAGAGCCTGACAGACAGGTACAGACAGACAATGAGAGGGGGGGAGGCACAAACCTGGGGGTGAGGGGGGAGGTACAGACCTGCGGGGGAGGCACAAACCTGGGGGTGAGGG